TTACTTAAGTACAGAAGTAAATACTTTTACTAAAGTATAGAGTGTGAGTATTTTGCCATCTCTGAACTGTATAACTTGGAGCGTGGCAATTAAAGATGTTTTAAAACATGCCCGTGCCTGCAGTGAGGCAACTTTTTACATAGCTATGCACTGATGTCTCCATCCAGGCAGGCGTGTAGCAATCCTTCAAAAAGTCCTGCAACACGTCTCCTCAGGTGAGCCTCTGTCATACTGCAGAAAGATAAAGCTCTGTGAGGGAAAACAAAGCGGAAGAGGAGCCTCAAGAGTTCCTCCCGGAGGCCATGGGATCGTTTGTTTTTCCTCCAGACCTGTCACGTTGTGACGGAAGGGGGCCTAATGACGGGAATAACCCCCAAAAGATGAGGAATCCAGGTTACGGCCTCACATACGTGGATATTTATAATGCCTTTATAGAATGAAGTAGCCATTTATGGTTAGTTGAGTAGATGTGAAAAATGGCCTCAGAACCATTTCATTTCTCCCAGCCAAACAGCTACAAAAATAAAGGAAAGAGCTGATCGACATAAAATGGAATATTGTGTAAAATAAAAATGAAATACAGTGATATTCCTACAAATGTCACAAAACTAAAATGACATACTCCAATAATTCTAGGATTATTTTTTGTAGTGCTCTGAGGTACGAGCACTATTGTTTATATATATATATATAAAAACAGTATATTGCAGGAGTTAGTCTTTCAATCATATCCCGCAGATGTTTCTGCATTAACAATCATGGGACAATGTTGTGGTGACAAACAGTAGAGTGAGTGACCATCCAGAGCGGGCGAGCCGTCAGGCTGCCCCTGGGGTCCTCGAAGGTGGGGGGGGGCCATCTGTTTGGGCTGCTATTTAGCAGCGAGGACGTGTGGCCGTTTTCTGCTTAATTAGGTCCGTTAAACAGGCGGTCATCAGAAAGCAGCTGCTAACATTGCAATGAAAACAAATAAGCACACACACAACACACAAACACAGCGGGTCGTGAAAACATCAGAAAAAATATACATATCGGGCACGGGGGTCGCGGCGAAGGTGACAAGCAAGGTTACGTTGGGGAAACCTTTATGATGATATTAAATATATATATATAGTTTTTGGGCTTCTATTTTTATATCCAGAGATGAAAGTGGACTTTCCTGAAAATTCCGGGAAAAAAAAATATATATATATATATATATATATATATAAATATAGATAAAATAATGTGTGTATAGAAGTTAAATATAACTGAAAGAATACACCTTTCTTGTCCTGTGCTGTCTTTTTTCAGCTTAGATGGGCAACTTTTGAATGCCAAAATTTGGTGAGTTTTAAGATGGCACAAGACACGTTTGCCACAAATTATATTTGGAACCGATGACAGCAAACACTTCTTTTGAGTACAGTAACAAAGCATGTGTACTTGGTTACTTCCCACTACTGGGTTTTCGTACAGCAAAGTTGTAAACTTGCGAGGGTGGAGGGTGGGGGTGGGGGGATAAAGTGGATCGCACTGGACCTTTGCCAAATTTCCACCGGGCATTAGCGAGCAGCCAACTGGCGCAGGCCTCATTAAAGAGCACAGAAACCTATAACCATTAAAAGCCCATTAGGCAGCATGTAATTTTGTGGAACTAAATGGCAGAGAGTAATCAAAAGCACATGAAGCCCAGCTGGGCGGCTGGGCAAACTGTTTGGATTAGCGGGGAATCCATCATTGGCAATGGCAGCTTTTCAGGGGGGGGTCAATTTACTTGCTGTTCTTTTTTCGTCACTTGTTTTTCTGAACTATAGACGGGATTGCTGGTCGTCTCCTTGTATATGATTATAAATAGTAAGGATGGGGGGGGGGCAGTGAAAAGTAACGACATACAGTATCTTGATGCCATATTTGCCAGTGATGCAATGGGCCGATTGGCATCACTGTTCCGGATGTGATTTGAGAAAGTTGATAGGCGAAGAGAAGGATTGAATCGTATTGCTACATAATTGGAGTGAATCACATTGTATCACATTGCTTCATAATTGGAGTGAAGCTCATCATATCGAATCGTAATTTCGAAAATCGTATCACATCTTAACTGAGTGCGTCCATCCGCATCGTAACTTGAGCGAGAGCTAGCCAGCCACACGGACTCCACCCTTCACAACCTGTCAAGGTAGGATCCCATTTTGCTTCCTTTTTCTCCACAGACATCGGCGGTAAACTCCCTGGGTGATGGATGCTCTGCTCAAGGTGATTTCGTTCACCGGACGATTAAAAGTATGGCTTCGTGCTCCACCTGCACTAATTGCATTCTTCTCACTCGGACGCTTACCCCGCTAGAGGGTCCTGTCCGTCAGCTAGAGCAGAATAATGTGGTGACGGTACACGTGACGGTCACTACAGTTGTAGGCGGGTTATAGTCAGCCTGCTAGTCCAGTTAGCATTAGCCTTAAGCGCGGTGAGCCTGCTTAGACGCATATAGCAGTTCCACTCCACCTTGGTCTACTGGCTCCTGCACTTTAGTTCTAGGTGACTCCATCACCCGTAACATAAAGCTTAAAAACCCAACCGCAGTGATGTGTATTCCTGGAGCCAGAGTCCCCGACATTGAAGCTTAACGTTAGGGAGCTGGCACGCAACAGGCACCAGCGACAGCAGCCAACGTCCGCTCCCCCGGCATTCGGCTCAAGATTTTATGCATTTTTTTTAATTCAGAAGTTTCAAATCATTAGGGAAGACACTAAGGACAGTTTTTATTCAGATTTAGTACCTACCCTATGTAAAACCCCGGTGACTTTTACTCCTACACACACAAGTGTAAAAACACGAAAGGTAAAAATAAGACGATAAAGTTATATCTAAATCATGCAAAGTGAGAGCGAGAGAAAAAGGGGGATGAGGAAAGCAGATGACCTCATCCATTTGGGAAGTGGAAGCAAGGGGAAATGGAGGGTTTCTTCTTTCAGCACCTCATTTTGCTGGCGCTCCACATGTGTCTATTTAGGCAGCGGCAGCACGTTAAGAAAACCTCAGGGCGTCACACGCAGGCCATTCCTCAAAAACGAGGCCGGATCGACACCACAAGAGTGGGTGGGAAAGGGAATCCCAGATACTGACAGGAAGCAAATTGTGTTCCGTTCACTGCGCTAGCTTTTAACACCAACCCGCGCTCGGAACAATTTGTCCAAATGCTAATTTATCCGCAAGGCATTTTTACTGTCAAAAGATTTAGCAAATCGTGAGTCAATCTGGTCGATTTTGTTTATTTCTCACCGATGTTTGACACGCAGCCAAGAGTTTAATGTGCTGTTAACGGCAGCCGCGAAGGGCTGAGAGCATGATCAGCTCATTAAAAACAAAAAAGCCATAATCTGTATTTTCCGTAACTTCACTAAGACCAAGTCTCCCATGAAACACCAACAAAAACGCTTGTAACATGTTTTTAAGAGGAAAAAAAATATAATGTCATGATTTCATGTAAACATTGTGTGGCGCCTTCTCATATCTTGGAAGCAGGAGACACACTTCTGTATATACACCAAGAAGACAGTCACAATTACTCAGTGAGCTGCAGTAATACTTTAAGTCTTGTTATATTGTTGCTTAACCTTTTGGTTATTATTTGCTTGGATAGAATTGAAAATCAGAAAATGCGCTACAAATGTGAGGACGCTGGCATCAATGCTGTCACTTTGCAACATGTAAAAATATTAATTACTACTTCCCTAATGGCCATATTTTATTTTTTTGACTCAGTGGCATATAGATATTTTTATTTTTTAAACATATACAGTATCTCACAAATGACTTTCAATATTTGTTTATTAGTTAGTTGGGCAGCTAGCCGTTAGCAGCTGATCCGCTGTTGACTTTTACCAATGTCAAAAGCGATCCAGACCTTTCAAAATGTACAGTTTCAAGTACCTCATGAGACGTCAGACCTCAGACAAGTTTAAGTTTCGCCTGCCTGTCAGACTTCGACTGGAATTTTCCATCACGGCCAGCTAGCAGCCAGTGGCCAATGCTAGCTACTCCTCCGCTAACAGGCCAAAATCTTAGGTCATTACAGACAGCAAGAATAGGTGACTTTTTCCAACAAATATTTGTTAGTTTGGTGCTACAGAAAAAAAAAAGCGCTAATGATCAAGGGTTTTCTGTTCTGTAAGTCAGAACCTTGTTTTGCGTAGAAGTAGTTTCTGGCGTGATTTACGATGCAGCGTTGTCAAAAGTACGCCTGACTTGGTAGTCAGTTTATGTGACGGTCAGGTTCATTTGAACTCAAACTGAGGCTGAACACCAAATGGAGTCTTGTTTCCTGGCATTAACATTTGGGTTCATGAAACTGATCTTGTTTTTCCTTTTGGAATGCGGCCAGTTGTTCTTTCAATTATGTCCCAAGCTAATTGACTTGACTGGAAAGTGACATTCCTGCACAGGGCTGGGCCATCGTGGCAGTGCTATACTTTCATATTAAAGTCATTATTTTTCTTTTTTTTTTCTTTTTTTTACCTCTCCCTCTACAAGCTCTTTGAGTGTGGATTTTTTTCGGACGTTTTCTTATTTTCTTTAAAGCTAAAAATAAAACAATGAACATACTATTGAGCTCACAGATAAACACATTGTGGCTTTAGTTGATTATGTGCCGTCAAAAAGCATTTTTGTTGCCGTGCGCCTTACAAATCCGTGCCTTGTTCAAATAAACATGGAAAATGAGCTGAGGTCTTGAGAAATTGCACACAGATGATGTGGGCACACACACACACACACACACACACACACACACACACACACACACACACGCACGCACGCACGCACACACGCTGCTTAGATGTGAGAATTGTGAGTATTACTGGGGGAACAAAAATGCCAAATGATTGTGTCTTGCATCGCCGTATATACAGCATAGATGTCTCACATTTGCCGAGTCAGTTGTTGATAGGCAGATTTCATGGAGCTAAATCGCAGCCGCCCAACACGGCTTTGACAAAATAAATAAAATAAATGTTACATACCGGTCACACCTACTCTGCTTCTTCTGGGGTGCAATTTCATTTATGCTCTGCTGTAAACAGCTCTGACACTCCCTGCAACGGGAGACAGAAAAATGATTAAAAATGTCAAGCAGTATCACTTCAACATACGTCCTTAACACCAATTACCTGTACTACTTTGCTATTATTATATAATCTTTTGGCATCACAAAGAGAAAAACAATTGGTGATTTTTTTTTCAGCAAATCGCAAAAAGATTCCAAAGGAAAAAAAACACAGCTCCCAGATCGATTTTTACTTCATTCCTGGCAAACAAAGTGAAGAATCTTAAAGTGATGCTCTCCACTTCCTGTTCGATTGAAAGAAACTTTATTTACACCTCCCGTATTTACAATGCAAGATTTTACTACTTCGCTATTAGCCTGGGCTTTGGCACGATCTTTTGACATTACAAAGAGAAAAACAAATGGTGATTTTTTTCAGATAACAGCTAAAGGATAGGTTCCAGGGGGGGAAACAAGCTCCCATAGATCGACTTTGACTTCATTAGATTCCTGGCAAACAAAGTGAAGAATATTGAAGTGATGCACTTCCTGCTTTATTGAAGCAAACTTTATTTACACATCCCATATTTACAATGCGGGCTTATTATAAATAATGAGCTCCCAGGTGGCCTTTAGCGCACCACTAAGACGCTCGCTTCTCTCCTTGAAAATGTCCCCATATGCGTATAGTGTACTTTGTGTTCGTGTGTGTGTGTGTGTGTGTGTGTGTGTGTGTGTGTGTGTGTGTGTGTGTGTGTGTGTGTGTGTGTGTGGTAGTAGTCACGCCTGAGGATGGGAGCGAGCATGCATGTGTAAGCAATGCACATATTTACATATGTGTGGAAGGTGGCCAGCTCGGTGTGCGCGTGTGTATATGTGTGCGGCAAATTTTTGTGTATTTACATTTGTTAGTGCACCTCAAGAGAGGATTCAATTCCTCCGTCAACATCAATATAGTCACACCACTGTGCACGTGTATTAGTGTCTTTTCATACTGTTTATACGATACATACAGTATGTATATAGGGATATTTATGTCGAGCATACATGCGGCGGTGTAATTTGTGGAATGTTAAGTCTGTTATGTTAAGATAAACAGTGGTGTGTGTTCACTGTGAGGCACTCATTCACTATCCTGAGTTCTCACGAGGTACTTGAAACCCGAAACCTGACTTGGATTCATAACTCAGGTTCAAAACCCTGATTCGAAATGCTTACCCTGCCTTGAAACCTAAATTATAACCAGCAATTTAAAACGCTGACCCTCACTCAAAGGACCAACTGTCTTAAAACCCTAATTTGAAAGCTGAACTCATTCAGGGCCAAGAATGTTTTTTTTTTTCATGTTTTTTTAAGAATCCAGGCTTCCAATCCCAGGCACGTCTTTATGTATTTAAAAATGTTTTAAATCATGTGGTAGGGTAAAGACGGGTTTGAAAATGGCTGGCACTGAATGTGAAACCTCAACCCTAGCTTGAAACCATAACACAGGGTTGAAATTTTAATTCAAAACAACAATCTTCACTTGAATTTAGGATTGAAACCCAAATTGTAACGATTTTAAAACCTTAATTTCCACTTGAAATCCTAATTCAGGTTTACACCCCTAATTTGAAATCTTAATTTTAGCCTAAGATCAGAACACAGTCTTAGAATTCTAATTTGAAAGCCAAAATCTAATTAGAAACCCTAACCAAAGTCTAAACCCATCATTTGAACCTGATTTTCACTTTCAACTTTAATCCAGGCCAGACACCTCAACTCAAAAACCTAACCTTGGTTTAAAATCTTAAATTGGCACCTAGCCTTTTCTACAAACCCTAATTTGAAACCCGAAACCTAGTTCCCAAACCTCAAACCTAGTGACAAGCCCTAAACCCCACTTGAAACCGTAACCTTTCGATTTAAAACTCTCATTTGAAATCTTAACCCTGTCTTGAAACCATAACACCGGCTTGAAATTGTCAATTAAAAGCATCACCCTGTCTTCAAACCCTAATTTTGAAACTCTAACCAGCCTTGATGTTCTAACTACGGCTGACTTTTTCCTTTTTTTGTGACTTTCAATGCATTTTCCCCTAAAACACTGCTCATATTACAAATGAACGACCTCTCTCTCTCTCTCTCTCTCTCTCTCTCTCTCTCTCTCTCTCTCTCTCTTTCACATACACACACACACACACGCACACACACACGCACACACACACACACACACACACACACACACACTTAAACACACAACAGTATGACAGCCTATTAGCTTGGTCTCCAGGGGGGTCAGTTCAGATAGTTACGACGTTCGCTGTTTGTCACGAGGGCATCGCCAGTCTGTTACACATTTAGCATGAAAAACACACACACACACGGTCGACGTGGCTGTTTCACATTACTAACACACACACACACACACACACACGCACACACACACACACACACACACACACACACTCACACACACACACACACACACACACACACACACACACACACACACATGCACACACACACACACACACATCAACGTGTGTCGTCAAACAACTCGTACATTCACTGCCACTAAATGACAAAATTTCATAAAGACACACACACACACACACACACACACACACACACACACACACACACACACTGTGTGTCTGTTTGACAGCACCAGAAGGCCATTGTTTATGTCGGAATAAACAACTCGGGTAATTAGCCCATATGCAGCCCTCCAAAAAAACCCAATGACATTCAATAGTGACCATGTAATGTCTCCACACACACACACACACACACACACAAAATGTAAAATGACTTTCTCTGTTAGTAATGACACATATATCAGTCTGATAGGCACAATATGTAAATGTTCAAAACGATTTGCCCATCGTTTTATGAATGAGACCAATCAATAGTGAGGACAAAAAAAAAAAAAAATTCTAATACGGTGATATCTTCACAACTGTCCACTGCCACCGTTGGACTGCAGATGTCCAAATCCATCCTTTTCAGTGGTGATGCTGCATCACTTTGGATGTGAGGTCAGCACGTCTCAAATCGTCTTTTATGAGTGCTGTATAGTACTTAACTCGGACAGTTTGGGCTATGGCAGACTTTTACATGTTGTTGCATATTAATAAACATGACAGAATCATATCGAACTGAATCGTAATCCCACTGACTCGAACGGAATCGTTATTTATCTATGTGACCAGTTTATCTATTTCCATTTTCTTATGTTTTTATTAAATAAAATATTATCTTTCCCATTTCAAAGCATGTAAATAATGGTGCTTTGTAGGGTGCAGAAACGGATTAATGGCTTTTTAATTCATTTCAATGGGGAACATTAATCTGAAACTCGCATGTCAAAGTACCATTGTATTGACTTTTTTTTTTTTTTTAAATCCTATTTTCATAATTTCCTGACACTCTACACCAGTAGTTAACGTCCCCGGCAGGTGTCCACTCGTGCCGGGCAGCTGTCAGCATTTGGGTGGTCTGGCACTCTGCTCCTTTAACTCCTCACTACTGCCGTTGTCTCTAAATACAAACTTAAATACATTCAAAATAGACACAGCATAAATGTTCAATTATCTCGGGATTGTGAATCAAAAGAAGACAAACGCTGGCTCTGCGAAAATACGCCAAGCCAACATGTGCTTTTTTTTCTTTTTTGGTTACGTATTTCTGCACTGTTCCCGTAAATATGAAAATGTCTGTTATGAGATCATGATCAGCAATGGTTGCCATATTAGCACGCTGACCCAATATGTGTTTCCATGAGTGTAAACACATGAAATTCAGTCCTGAATACACATACTGCATAATTGGCATTTTGCATGTGCATGTATGTGTAAATATCATTCCAGATTATTTGTAATAAATGAAGTTTCGTTTTTTCTTTTTTTTTTGTACAATACCTTCTTTTAAAATTCCCACTAAAAGTGTGAAAATCATCTTCAAATTCGAAACCCTAACCCTGTCTTGAAACCTTATTTCAAACCTTTTACCCTAATTTAAAAACTGTACCCTGCAGTGAAACCCTAATTTGAAAGTCTAAGTCTAAATCTGCGCAGAGGCGGGCTAGTCTTTTTACTGACGCAAACAGTTTTCGCACACTTAAAAACGGGCTGTTTGCGCCGTTGTGGGTGTGAACGCAAACGATTTGATTTGCCACTGGTCAAAGTTGTACGGTGCGAGAGGCGCACGGTTCTCGACATGGCGTGGCCAGTTGGCCAGGGATTTCCGTTACCGTGAAGGGTTTGAATTTTACACCTTTTCGCTCAGCCTTAACTCACAGTCATAGGGCTCCTACGCAAAGAAACGGCTTGAGAACATGGCTCTCCACCAAAGCAAGCGGCGTGTTGCTGGGGATTATCCAATTTCCAGCAGCGTTTCCCTGCCGCGTGGCGAGATTGTTAAGTATAATACGCTCAGCGGCGTATCTCTCAGTAGGGCACCGATCGCTCTGATATCCGGAGCTGCAGACACACTAGAGGGAAACATGCAAAATGCAACCTGAAAAAAAAAAAAACGCCTGCGAGAGCCCACAAGTTAATCTTGCATGAAAGTGAGCAATTCAGAAAACAGTCGGTGGCTCTTCAAACACACCGAGGGGGCCATTTTGTGGCTTTCCTGCACCGGGCCTCACAGGAGGATGAGTTACTTTTGTGCGGGTTAGGTTGTTCACAGTCCGTTCTTGGAAAAAAAAAAAACGGAGAACAACAAGCGTACGGATAAGACGGTGTCGTTCCCGGCAGCAGATGTTGGTTCTGCGCGCAGGAATAACAGCCAGTGTTTTCATCTCAAACATCTCACACGCAATTACACAGCCGACGGCACATCACTTGCGGTTCTCTGGCTTTGTTTTCTCAACAATTAGCTTTGTGTTTTCACAGAGGGCTACTTCATCTGTTTCCAGACCGCACGCTTCGCACCGCCACTTCGCAGTCATTTCTGGGCTAGTTTACGTCCGCTCTTGGCACAAGAAATTCGGTTTGATTATTTGGATAATGGCATTTTCTGCGATTTCATATTAGCATTTATTTGATTTCATGTTACATTTTT